AAAAGGGTAGAAAATTGCGACAGGTGTTCTATACTTCTCTGAATCGCGCCAGAATACAGATATCATACCTTGACGGCCCTACCTACGTCCATCTCGTTGCCGTAAAGCTGGGCAGTATCTATGTGTCTATACCCACATTTCAAAGCAGCAGTGACAGCTCTGTATGTATCTTCGGGCTCAGCTTGATAGACGCCCAATCCAATTGTAGGTATACTTCTACCGTCATTCAGTGCGACGACCGAAGTCGTGACGTTCTCAACTGTCATGCTATCCATACACGATTTTTTTCAAGCAAAAGGTGAGTTCCAACCAGTGCTGTGTGGTGGTCTCTTAATTTTCACCTGGCGGGGTTTGGTTGGGGGTTGCTTGGCGTGTATTATGATGCTGTGGTACACATGAAGTCTGGAAGATACTGGAGGATTGCAGGACTGGGGGTCGTGGATTATTGATTATTTTTATAATAGGCTCAGACTGGTAGACTCTGGTAGACTGGTAATCTGGTACATAGACTGATAGACCGGCAGACTTAAAGAGTCAAGACTGGTATTTATGGTAGACTCTGGAGTCTGGGCCCCTGGGGAGGCTGGGACAGACTCTGGGGCCTAGTCCTGGGAGTGGGGAGGATGTTGGGGACATAAGAATCAATTCTAACCTCAAACCGTTTTCCGTTAAAACCTTTATAAATTGAATGAATATACGTTTAGGTATATTGCGGTCCTTTGTAAGCTTCTAGGTGCACCTTGCGGGTCTAAACAATTATGTGTGTACTGATTTTAACATACGAACCAGTCTTAAAAACATTTAGGTAAGCCCTTCAGATCACGTTATAACCATTATATAGGTTTAAAATTGAATAATTATTCGTTTGCGTTCAACTTCTATTCCGTACCCTCATAACGTAATGAGCTTAGCCTGGGATAGACTGGCAGACTACCCCTGAAGTCTGGGTCTGGGAATTGAAAATTGTTTTTCATTTGACTTCATTGCTTTTTTTTTAAAAACAAAAGCAAATTAATCTGCCTTCAATATTCTTGAATTTTTTATCGTATCATCAGACTTGTGAATTGTGATCTTGTCCAAAGAAAATCAAGAATCAGTTTGTACATGGAGTAAAACAGTTTCAAAGATTTTGTCGTCAAAAAGGCTTAAATCATAAAATAGATTAAAAAAAACAAATATCTGGCACCTGACGGATGATCAGGGATTCAGGGATGGCGTTTTGCGTCCTTGACATACCCTGACTTACAAGAGGGAAAGGAGCTGATAATCTCTACTACACACAGCAAGAAATGAAGGAAATTGTTGAGTATGCTCGACAATTTGAGATTAAAGTGGTTTCAGAGTTTGATATCCCGGATCACGCATCTGCTATAGCGATGGCGTATCCCAAGCTAATCGCAGAGCTTTGCGATGATTATATTATAGAGCGCAAATGGGGTGTTTTTGAGCCCTTCCTATACCCAGCGTTGCCCGAAGTGTATAATTTTATTACCAAAATCATGAAGGAGGCCACAAGCATCTTTACAGACGAGTATATACACATTGGCGGCGACGAGATCAACCCTAAGCAGTGGACAGAAGGTGCAACAATACAAGCATTCATGATTGAGGAGAATCTTGCTGATGATTTAGTGTTGCTCGCTAGTTTTAATGCGCGCGTAGAAAAACTCCTAGGAATACTAGGCCGCAAGATGATCGGCTGAGATGAAACATACCATGCTAATCTGTCGAGAAATGTTTTGATCCAGTTGTGGAAAGGCCACGGCTCTCTCGGAGAAGCTGCCCGCGATGGATTCCAAGGTATTCTATTGACTGGCTTTTATACCGGTCAGCCACAAGCAGCCTTGATGCATTACCGTAATGAGGAGTTGCCACATGCGCTTCGAGTTGACGATGCGGTTACGAGCGGCGAAACGTGGGAGACTTGGCAATTCATGGCACCGCGCAAGCGTGGCAGTGAAGTGCACGGAGATTTCACTCTCGTTCATGCACAAAAAGGGACTCGGTTTTATCGGGGTTTCCGGCCGTTCTCATCGGGCTGTCTTTGACGTGAAGACAGTTAAGAATGTGACCTCTTTCTGGACGAACTTGTGACGGCCAGCTCAGCGGAGACATTTTGGTGGGCAACATACCCTACCCAGCTACCGGTCAACTTGCGGTATCAAACATGGCATATTCTGTTTACCTTCCTGATTGTTCTCACGGCTAACGAAGAAAAACTTATCAAGGGCGGAGAGGTCACACTGTGGGGCAAAATAATAAAGGAGGATACCATTGATGTGCGTATGTGGCCTCGTTCGTACGTCATTTCTGAGCAATTATGGTCGTCGATTAATCTCATTGATGAAGATAGTAAGTACGAGGGATTGGCATCTATGGACCAATGGTCTACAGTATCTGTTGGTATACAGCAACACTGGAATACATACGTCGATCAGATGCGCCTGGCCAAATGTTGAATGGACCTCAGACTACTCCAAAGACTGCCCGAGGCTGTCGAACAAGCGCAGTACTATCACAGACATCACGAGAAATCCGCAAATGAAAACTACGACCAATTTGATCCCTTGAATAGATTCGCAGACAGTCTACCCCCTGAAAGTACGAGAGTGCGTTATCTACTGAAGCAAGAATGTCGCTGATCCCGCCCTGTTCGAAGTCAAGACGGCGATGATCCAGACGCTGAACAACTCGTGGACAGATAAGTACGAGGCGGTGTCTTTCTTGAACACTAACAACTATCTCTTGACCGATAACAACTATCTCTTGACCGCTAACAACTATCTCTTGACCGCTAACAACTATTGAATACGCAATCGAAGCGGTCACCGCCGCGAAGCAGCTTCTGAACAATGCGCAACACATCCAAGACGAGTTGGTGGTGTCAGTCGCCTATCCTGTGCAGTTCCTACTCGATAATGCCTACTAAAGGAGTACATTCCAGCGTAACAAGGTTTGGCACTTGACAGCTGGCTTCTATTAAGAAGTGAAGTAGGTATATTCCTAAAATAAAATACTTATGGCAAATTGACAATACAAAAATATTTAAACACGAGTGAAATATAATTTTAGAACTTCTCATGTCACGCAACACAATATAGACGACCGGTAGATATATAGAATTGAGGAGTGGTGTAGGTATATTTGTAAAATAAAACAGTGTAATTGACACTATATATGAATATCCAAGACCATGCGAGTGAAATGTTTTTATAGAAGTTCTCACATCACGCTACGCAATATAATTGTAAACGGCTGGTAGATACATATTTTCCTAAAGGAAAGACCTATTTTGAAATAATACATAACTTGTACGAGCAGTACTTCCCGCGTGGGGTGAGTACAGCTCGGTACATAGTTGACATACTTTTCGTCTAGCATTGTTGTCTCTCCTACTAGCCCTCAGCAAGTACATGAACCTCTACACTCTACAGCTATACTCTACTAAATTAGTAGATACATAGTAAATACTAAATATTAGTAAAAAGTTGAAATAGATCTTCTACACTAAAAATGCACCTACATCCAATCAGATCACCTTTTGTATAGATTATTGGCCCAGACTTGTTCAGAATACCGATTTGAGATTCAAAATATCCCTGAAAATGAACAAAGCTGCCTCAAAAATGAAAAAATTATATTGAACAAAAAATATACGACAAAAAAATTACAGTGCTCTCGCTCTGACCACTCACCAAGGCCCTCCTCCTGTGCATGCGTCTGGCGTGCAGCAGGGAAGACTTTTCCCACACCATTTTCCTCAGAGAGCCTTCGGATACACTATTGAAAGTAATCTTGCGTTCGAAAAGATGTCCGACAACCAAGACAACTCTCCTCCATCCCCGGAGCCTCAGATAATATCCGGTAGGGTGACTAAATTATCACGTTTTCCATCGGAGTAATAAATGAAATAGGTACCTATGTACGTCGATACGGATCGCACGATCCCAAAAGTTGAGGTACTCTGATTTGTAATTGGTTTACATACATACGTCTAGGCTTTTGAGGTATACACACGTCTACAAACCGTAATAATGTGTTAAAATATTATGTACGTATCTTGAGCCCAAAAATTGCGCTCACCCCTGTTGCATGTCTGCTTCTTAGGATGGGAGCACTCAAGATATGCGCACCGCGACACTGAACGTAACGCATACAAGGGCAAGAACGATGGGGGCGATCCAGAGTGGTTGGATTATGGGTCCAAGAGTGCACGATCCGGACGCAATTAGATCGACACCTCTAAGGTTCTACACGATTTTTGGGATGTATTACTTGTTTTATTATTATTATCAATTGGTTTGGTTCAGCTGATTTGGGTTGTTTGCTTGTCAACATTTGAATAATTTAATGTGTTGTGTATCGTAGTGCCTTACGTCTACACACAGCCAGGAAAGAGAGAGAACCAGTATCTGTAACGGCATAATATATTCTACTCACTTTCGCAAATAGGTTGGGAGCACGCTAACCATGCGCATCGGGTTTGTCGAGTGTGGACCATGCGAACTGGCACGTCGATTTGAATACTCGAGAATTGAAGATTATATTACCATGTTGCGATGGTTGCGTTTTTTTATTGTGGGAGTGTACGAAGCATAGCTAACTCGGCATAACCTGAAGTTATGCTTCGCGCTTAATAATAAAGAGATGCATTATGTTATATTCCCTGTCGTTCGCTATCTGAAATGCCATTTAACATTGCTCTATCTATCTCTCCTTCAGTTGTACTTTACATCTCAAATTGGTGTATAACAATTTCACTTAGAATATGCTGGCACTTCAATTTAGACGATTTGAGAGGTGGTCTTGAAATAGTGTCGAGTCGAACCACACGTGAAGGCTTACGGGAATATTTTAATACGTACGCATGCGCGACGTGTTTAACTCGTATACGTATATGAATACGCACTTTCATTGTGACACGAATAAGAACCTTTTCGTGTACAGAATCTATAAAGGTTTGGCTATCCATACACACACACATATATATATATACATATATATATATATGTATACATATATATATATGTATATTATATATATATACATATATATATATCTATATATATATTTATACTCACTCAAACATATATAAATATATAAAGATATATATACACATATACATATATATGTTAGAAAACAAATATGTATATATATTAGAAAACAAATATATATACATATATAAACACACACAGATAAATATGAATATATATACATTCATGCATACATTCCTACATACATACACACTCACACACGCTTATATACATGTATATGTGTGTATATACATTCACATATAATGCATATATATATGTTTATATACATACACATTATACATACGTAAATATGTATGTATATATATATATATATATATAAATACATATGCATACTTATAAACACATACATACAAATTTTCTACATATACATGTACATACATAAATATACATAACATATATATATATATACACACACATATATATATATATCTATATATATATATACATACATATATATATAAATATAATATGAGCTGTTGAACTTTTCAATGAAGTATACTTAACATTGTACAGGGTATGCCAGTCGGCCACCGGTCCCCATTGATAGTGAGAACTAATACTTTTCGATATCGACTGCAGCCAACAGTTTCAATAAGCCTCACAATCGGCCCCAAGACAGCCAGTCAAAGTATGTAGGTAGTGGCGAATGCACTTGTCCCTAAGTCCTCCCAAGGTACAAAAACATGAACCAAGACTCACCGCTTCAGTATCACCGGCTAATAGCGACAAACGTTTTCAATAGTCCGAGATTTTATTCCTAGAAGTTCTGACAACAATCGGTACGGCTGGAGGGCTGGGCAGTTATCCGACACGCTCGACCGTTTGACTAAAAAAAGCACCACTACTTAATACCTAGAGCCTTGAGTTCTTTGATCGCGATCTCCACACTTGGGCCTCTGCTGGTGGTGAGGTGTACTTTCTGCAGCATCTCACCTGTGCAAATAGGACAGTATAACCAGAAAAACGCTCAGTGTGATGATGGGTATAACCTTATCTATCGACCCGCTAGTGGCTCCTGACTACAGAGTGAGTGTGCACGGCAATCGGTATTGCTCACATCAGGAATTATGCAATGGAGATGCCAGCATGCGATCTGACACAAAGATCGTGAGCATGTTTGGCATAGACCGCATCCATCTGCGAGCATCGGGGTTGCATAAAAGAGTGAACGCCGATTGTGAGAGCACTCACACAACAGCGTATGCGTACAATTGCACATCAGCCTACAACATCGCATCTCACGCCACCCTAGCAGTACTACAATACTACGCGTCAACATGGTCACGCACACACACCTTTAGTATCTTCGGGTTTGAACGTGCGTATTCCCGACAGGTATGCAAGCAAGTTCGCCTTCAGAGATTCATTGTCCAAGGTGAGCTGCACATGGCATATGAAATGAATCGATGAGTTTACTAGATGGCCGTAGTCATTACATACATATGTATATACACACACAGACATACATACAAACACACACACACGTATATACATACATACATACACACACACAGATATATATATAAGCTATAAAGCACGCGACGACAAAATTAACGCTATATATATTCATGTTCATACATACACACAGATATATATATACATACATATATAGACAATAATATATATATATATACATACATACACACACATATATATAATAATATATAATATATAGATCTATCTATTATCTATTATCTATTAGTCTATCTATATATATATATATTGTCTAATAAGCGCGACGGCAAAATTAACGCCAGTCATAAATCCACACGGGATTATAGTACATCCTCATGATTATAGTACATCCTTATGCTTGTATGACAACTTCCTTGCACCACCCCATTGCCTATAAGTGTTCACACCTTGCCCAGACCGACGTTACAAACCCCGGTCTTCGTGGTTTTGAATTCCACACTGTTTCGGAATTTCTTGACACCGGCAGCTATGTCCGTCAACACAGTACCTGTAAACGAATATCAGTTGGTATTGATTATGTGAGACAAGCCCGTATTGTAACCTGAATATTGTGATGAGATTCGCAAGCTTTCGTAGAATGCGGTTGACTATATGACGTACATCCGATCTCGTAAAAAATTTCATCGCACTCAGTCGCCTTTGCCCGCAAATGTAGCGGTAACCTTTTACGCTACTGTGTCTAAAACTTAAACCCACAAAGAGACGCACACTTCCATCTCCCTACGGCTTCTTCCTTCACAAGAAGTTCTAAGTATGACTAAACAGAAAGAAAGCCGGTAGAATCGCCTACCAGGTACACTGTCGCTCCAATCACAACACAGAATATCAAACGATACGTTTGCACGCTTTCGTACTGCAGCCAAACTATGCTACGCTAGTGTGCGCATTGTCAGCTCATAAGCGAAGTTCGCCGGGGCAAGCAAGATAACTTTCACAACAATCGATCAATACAGGTTTGCGCCGGCATAAATTAAGTCAAAGTAGTTGGTTACCGACTGACGCGAGCTCTTAGGCTTCAGAAATCTATCACCTTATCCTTATCTACAGTCTGAAAATGCAATGGTTCACAAGAACATACACAATACTACACCCACTCCTCACCTTTCTTCACCGTGGGAGTCAGTCCTCTCAGTTTACGAGCGGCCGGGCGCAAGGCTTTGAGCATCTCCGGGGTGGTTAATATTAAGTCGAACTTCGCAAACTCGAATGCGCCAGATACCTGATACGCCAATGTGAAGGTTTAGAATCACCGAAGGCAAGGGAGAAACAAGTGCGGATACAAAAATCCAATCGTGTTATAGCTATGTATGTACCCTCCCCTGGAACCAACACATATATAATGTAATATGGCTACAATCAACCAATCGTCCTTGATCTATGTATTAACCCACACACAGGTCCCATCCACACATAACGAATTACGGATACAAACACCGACGTATATGAGGCCCGAACGTTGAGAAGCCCTACGAACGCTGCAATAGCTATACGATCATAATTCGTGGAAGGCGAGGATCTACCTTGTTTATTGCGGTCGCACAAGGAACATACGTGTTCGTATCCACACAGAGTTTTGATGGCACAAATGAATAGAAGGTAAACAAACACTATTCATTTGCATACATGTATGATATTCGAGTGAAACCATACGTGTCTGCATGATGTTGTACACTAAATCATATACACGTACATGAAACTATTGAAAATCATGCTCATCTTGCTAGTGTATAGGAACATATGCAGACACGTTTCTGCTGAAAAATGACTTACTTCCGTTGCATATACAGGTATGTACTGGCAACAAGCAATTGATTATACCGAGCCTTACCTACACATATATATGCAGATAGACACGTATAGATACAGGCACATAAATATGTACACATAAAGAGAGGTCGGGTCCATTCGCAAGCAAAAAATACTAAACACTCGCTCAATCGTCATGTGGTAAAGCGGTGGTAGACTGACTTAGACCAATGGTGTGTACATACAATGTTAGGAATCTCATCGCTTCCAACTACAAGATCTGCACCGGCCTCTTGTGCCTTCTCTGCTTCCTCGTCCTGGAAAATAGAAATGGTACGCCGATAGGTTGAGCACACACACAATTGTTTGTCGAACATAGCAGGGGGCCTGTCTGCAAATTCGAACTAGATTTTTCTATATGAGGGACATCACGCGCCATGAGTTCGCTGGGACTGAGTTGCACGTTAAGTAGAACACACACGCACTTGTGCAGAATATGCAACGCAGAGCGATAGTTCATATCCAGACATAAAATACACTTAATTCATATCCAGATATAAAATACACTTAATTCATATCCAGATATAAAATACACTTAATTCATATCCAGATATAAAATATACTTAATTTATATCCAGATATAAAATACACTTTCCAGATATACATCGGACTGGTTTGTATCCAACGCCAAGCACGTGTCAGGCGGCTGGCGTATCTGCAGATACACACGCTTGATGCACGTGGCATAAATTATCAAGCTACTTATAAAATTGGATGTCGCCACAAAGCCGAAGCGTATGGATGCATTCCCGGGTTGTTCCTTATACACTTGCATAGCCTTAGACACATCCAGCAAAGCGCATGCCAATTGGTGAGGACTCTTGTACGGAGAGCGCATTCCATGTACCGTCTATGGCTCCAGGGACTCATTGTCACCAAGTGCGGCAAGTTCAAGACTGCCTAACATGCGTACTATTGTGATGTAATACACTCAGGTACTATTGTGATGTAATATACTCACACCCCACTTTAACTACAGCGATTTGGATCGTACACACATCACGATACACAGCGCTCTTGAAGTACGCATTGCATTCGGGGTATAAAAAAATAAACAAAACAGAAAATACCTCGGCGATGACCAGAATTTTCTTATCCTTGCCAACTGACTTCGGTAAGATTACTGATCCGCGTACTATGTGTCTGTTCTTCTTCTTCTTGTCCCATGTGTTCACTGCCAATGCACACTGTGAATAGTTGTGGGCCGATCAACAGGGGAGCACCGCGCGATGAAAAATAAACATATGAGACTGTTTGCCACCAATTTGGATTGGAATGTACTATTCGCCGGTAGAGCCTCAGGCGCAGACTTCAGCTCGCACACAACACAAGCTTCATCTGCGGTGTATACACATAGCTCACTACTGCTTCATGGAAGGCTGGATTCAATCCTTGGTTAGTGGCTATCATTGAGTTCTCGGTGTATGTATTTGTTTATGTGCGTAGTCTCCAAACTCAAACATCTGCCGATTCGCTTTGGTTAACCTCAATTCTCGTGTATATACATATAAAATATATATTCCTGGATATAACAGAATGGACTCATTTTCATAGAGAAAAAACATGCAGATGCTTCAATGGGCGGCGGAACTGCAACGTCTCGCATATAATATAGGCATAAACTGTTTAATTCTCGCTACCTCCTCGAGTAGGTGCATAGCATACACATATATGGATGAAAAACAAATAGGATTCAACTATAAACAAAAAGGCTTTATCTATACACAAAGCGACGAACATAGTGGTATGACCACAGCACGTACACGTGCTCTTGTACGTACAAGACACAATCACCCACCCTAACCTATATACATCAATATATACCAATGTTTGTTCATATATATATCCGAGCATACATTCATATACATACATACATACATATATACAGACACACAAGACATCTATATATATATATATATATATGCATATACAACCACAACACACACAAACACACATAAACATTTAAATATGGATTGATACTTCATGATACACTACCTTGCACATAACATATATACACACGCACCCACACGTATCCACACACATATACATATAATATATATATACATATATGTAATTATAAACATATTTACATACATGTGTACAGACATAACACTATATAACAATATATAGCAATATACAACAATATATGGGTACGTATATTGGTACTCGTTGATAATATATATATATACATTATATATTTATATATATAGGAATGTATCTTCATACTTGTACATTTTGGTACAGATTCGTAGACACAGTCAAACAGACAGACACACCTACTTATATATATATTTATATACACTCAAACACACGCACACGCAAACACGCACAGAAACACACACACACACACAGACACAGACATACACACACATATAT